GGGGTGGGTGCCGGGGGTGCGACTGCGGGCGCAGGCGAGGCTGCCGAGGGACGCGCCGGCGTGGCGGGCTTGGTGCTCGGCGGACGCGGCGTCCAGGCATCGTCGTCGAAGCCGTTGGCCACCGCCGAGCCGGTGCGCTTGGGCGCGATCGCCGGGCTCACCGTGCTCACACGCGCCGGCGGCGAGGTGGTCCTTGCCAGCGACTCGCTCGCTGCCGCCAGCGACGCCGCATCCACATTGCTGCCGCCTGTGTTCTTGGGCGTGGGCCTGCCCCTGCGTGTGTTGTTCTTGAGCGTGCCGTCCGGGCCCGAGAAGAGCTGCGGCGGCGCAGGGCTCACCGTGTCGCCTCGCCTCGCCGAGCTCTCCTGCTCCTGCAGCTTCCTCGCCAGCTCCTCGTCCGCCTTGATCTGGCGCTCCAGGTCCGCCGCCGGGTTGGCACTTGCGCGACTCGACTGGCGCGACGACGTCGTCTTGTCGCGCCGGTACTTGCGGTCGATGAACTTGGACACGCGGATCACGTCGCCCTCGCGCAGCCCCAGACTGCGCAGCGTGCTCGCGTCCAGATCGCCCAGCACCGTCTCGTCGATCTTGTCGCGCTCAAACGCGCTGGCGTAGCGCGTGCAGTCGTCCACATCCACGCCCGCCGCGAGGAAGAACTCGAACCAGTCCACGTTGCGCTTCGGACCCGTGCGCGACTGCTCGCGTCGACGCTGCTCGCGCTCCTTCTCCTTGCGCCTCTCGCGTTCGCGTTCGCGCTCCTCGCGCGACATGCCGCCCGTCGTCGACGCCTGCGAGCGGCTCATCTGGCGCTCGCGCTCGCGGTCGCGCTCGCGGCGGCGGGCGCTGGTGGACGCAGCGATCTCGTCGTCGGTCGGATTGAGCTTCTTGCCCGTAATGTCCTCGAGGAAGGCAATGTCGGTGTTGGACATCTTTTCCACCACCACCTCGATCACCACGCCGTTCATCTTGTGCAGCCGGATCTTGCCCTGGTTGAAGCCGAGGAACTCGGCCTCCACCTTGAACTGGCCCGTGCGGTCGGTCCACATGCGCGTGTTGTTGGGCGACGGCTTGGAGCGTCCGCCGGCGTCCTTGGGTCGCTCGGGCGCGCTGCGTCCCTGCGGGATGGCGACATTCTTGGCGGCGCGGCTCACCTCGGTGGTGCTGGGTCGCTGCGTGAGCTTGGGAGGTGCAGGCGCAGGCTGCGCCTTGAGCGCCTCGCGTCGCGTGCGTTCCTTCTCCTCCCTTTCGCGCCGTTCCTGCGCGCGCTGGGCGGCCTCGGCGGCTTCTCGCTGGCGCTCGGCTTCAGCGACCGCCTCGGCCTCCTCCTCCTCCTGGCGAAGGCGTTCGTCCTCCTCCTGCTGGGCAGCGAGCGCGGCCGAAGAGGCGGGGTCTGCCGAGCCACCGGCGGGGCCCTCGGTAGCCTCGACGTAGCTGGCGGGGACGACACCTTCGTGGCCGGCATCGTTGCGCATCTTCCACCAGTCGTCGTTCTCGCGCTCGAGGATGACGAGGTGCTCGTTTTCGGCGACGGTGAGCTCGTCGTCGCCCTGCGCCTCAAAGTCGTACATAGCGATGGCATGCTCCACCGCCTCTTGTGGCGATTGCGGCGCTTCCTGCTGCGACTGGAAGGAGACGGTCTTGCGGACGGGAGGCGGGAGCACGGCGCTTGCGGTGCGTGTGGGCGGTGGCAAGGACGCAGCGGGTGCGGGTGGAGCTGGAGGTGGTGGAGGGATGGCTGCTGCGGCGGCAATTGGGGGAGCCGGGGGAGCGGCTGGGGTGGATGCAGGAGGTGCGGTGGATGCGGTGAGCGCGTTGGCCTTGCTCGTCTCGATCTTGCGCACGATCTCGGCGGCAGCGTCCTTGGAGCCGCAGTGGAAGTCGAGCGTGGACTCGGCCATGCCGGCGTCGGGCGAGAGCTGGAGGTGGAGCGTCTTGCCCTTCTCGAGCGAGTGGCTTGCGACGTGGAGCACGCTGATCTTCTGGACGGGCGTCTTGTCGCTCTCGGAGGCAAAGAAGAGCGAGGCGTTGCCGATGCCGAGCGTGCCCTTCTTCTTCTTCTTCTTGCTGTCGAGCGCCGAGACGGGCCACATCTTGATCTCGTCGCCCTTGCCGAGCTGGGCGGTTTGTGGCATCTGGATGGAAGGGATGGCGGTGACGTGGGCGTCGTCGTCGTCGTCATCGTCGGCATCTTCGTCGTCGTGGTCGTCGGCCGCGTCATACTGGTCCTCGGTGGCTGGGGCTGCGCCAGTGTCGACGGCTTCGGCTTCATCGACATAGTTGGCGGGGACGTAGCCGAGGCGACCCTCGCCGCCGCTGAGCGGGTCGTTGCCCTGCTTCTTGACGAGAAGCCAGGTGCCGTCGGATTCGTAGACGCGGAGCAGCTCATCCTCGGCCATGGAGAGCTCGTCTTCGGTCTGCGCCTCGTAGTCGTAGAGCGCACGGCTCAAGCGGATGGGTTCAGCCTCTTCGACGTAGTTGGCGGGGACGAGGCCGACGGTGCCCTCGTCCGGGCCATCCTGGATGGGTGTGCCGTCTTGATCGAGCCGACGGATCTTGGCCTTCCACCATTCGGGGTCGTCGGACTCGAGGATGTAGAGGTAGTCGTCTTCGGCGAGCGTGAGTTCGTCTTCGGCCTGGGCGACGTAGTCGTAGAGCGCCTTGCACAGAGCGACGTACGCCATGGCGGACTAGCCAACGACCGATGTGCAGGCGGACCGAGTGGAGGGTGTGGCAGTGCTGGCTTGGGGCGACGTGCAAGCGCCGATGAAGAGCAGACTCGTGGTGGTCGTCTGGGTGACGAGGATGGGGAGGTGGGAGAAGGTGTCGCGATTGGAACGGACTGGAAAGAGGATCGGCTTCGACTGGAATCAAGGTGGGGAGGCAACCGAGAGCGGTGCAGCGGTTGCCAAGGGTTGACCGACCGACCGGCCGGCTTGCTTGTGGAGAAGGCGCATGGCGAGTGTGTGCGATTCGATGGCTGAGGCGACCGTGCGAGGCGGCGGCATGCAAAGTTGTGCAGTGCAACGTTGGATTTTGTCGGATTTCCAGCGCTTCTCTGCCTGGCTCACTGGGCCCCACTGGGCTCACTCGGCTCACTCGACGGAGCTGCCGCTCCGATCTCAGCGGCGCCACGCCTTGGCCCCACGCACGATGACACGCGCATCCACACAGCTGGCTGCTGCTCGACAGCTCGATGCACAACGTCGACGTCCAAGCCACGACGTCCAAGCCAACCTTTCAGTCCCACCATCGCCACCTGGATTGGACCCTTGAGCTGCGCCCTGACCAGCGAGAAAAGCGTCTGAGCAGTCAACGCCCTCGGACGCACCGGTTGTGCTTCTCAGTCACCACCAACCCGACTCAGGGGCTTCGTGGTGCTGTGCCTGATCGCGGCCGAGAAGGAAGCTTGCTACTCAAACAGTGTTAGACCGGCATCAACGGCGATTAAGAAAGCGGCTCTTTTTTGAAAAAATTCGATCTGGGATCGGGGACCGATGGCGTGCGAAAAGCAACCGGAAGGGCGCAGCAGTTCGGATCCGTCGAATTTGAGGCTTTGGAAGGCGCTCCGAGAGAGAGGCGGCGCACTCCCATCGCCGCCTAGCGCAGCAACTTTGATATCGTCGCGCTTTGACATCCTACCACCTTCTTGTCACCTCACACTTCGAGAACTATCGTCACCGTAAGTGTCACCCTTCAGCAATCGTCTCGGACTCAACGCCACGCTGTATCGACACATTTCGCAAGCTCAATTGCACATTGTTCAGCATTCGGCGTGTTGGCGCGAGCCGAAGGGCTATTTGTACTGACCACGGCATCCTGTCTTTATGTCTAAAGATGCCCGTCGGATCGATCCCCGCTATCACCGGAAAGCTGCGCAAGCGACTTATCCTTGACCTCACCGTCGCGCTTGGCGGTGGCACTGCCCTCGGCTACGGATACTGGTATGTACACACGGCAACATCGCGGTCGCAATTGCAGCCTTCTAATCCTTGCTCTTTATGTGATGTACAGGTACGGCGTTCACGTGCCCTCGGTCGCCCGCCGCGATGCCTTCTACGCAAAGCTCCAGTCCGAGCGCTCCGAGTAAACTCCCACCACCCCAACGAACGGTGGCACAGCAGTCGAATAGCTCATTCTGGCTGTGAATCTCGTTGCAATCGACTCAATTCCTCCCGCAACGACGACTGGCGTGCATGGTCCACTCACAGATCATGCGAGACAAGCGAATAGACGCCGGAGAAGGCGGTGTTTGCAAGGGATACACGCGACAGGGATGCGGCTATACGTGACCGGGAATACAAATACAGCGGAGAATGAGATGGGCAGGAAGTACAAAATGGACAAATGGACGCAGAGCGGAACGGTTGAGGACGGGGCAGTCAACACCTTGGCGTGGTGGCAGGAACAGCGTCGATGCGGCAGGTGTGGGTGTGTGCGTGCATGGCGGTGGGTTACGCCTTTTCCGCGGCGAGTTCGGCGGTGAGCTGCGCAATCCGCTTTCGTGTTTCGTCCTTCTTCTCCGCCTTGCGACGTTTCTTGGCCTCTTGCTCTGTATCCTTGCCATCTTCCTGATCGGCTGTGCGCGCCTTCTTCTTCTTGTGCTGTGCTCTTGATTCCATCTTCTCTCGCAACCTGTCCTCCTCGTCCTTGTCGGGGTTGATCGTGACCACGTCCGACCCTTGCACCGCTTTCGCGCCTTTGGTCAGGGCGGCGTGGAAGTGCTTTGCGCACACTGGGCAGGGGTGCACTTCTCCGCGCGCATCTGTCAGGGTAGCCTGCAGGCCCGATGCAGACATGACACAGCCGCACGGGGCGATGTAGACGAAGCGATGCATGCCATCCATCTGACGCGCCGAGAGCGGGCACATGAACGGATACACCGAGTGTTGCTCGCTCTGCCCCGCCGAAGCAGGGCGGTAGAGCGTATTGGTTGTGAGCTTGAGGTCGGTGGTATCGCGCAGCCCGCGGATGTGTGGAATGGGATCGGTGGTGGGCTCGGATTGATGGCGCTGGAGAAGGTGTTGGATCACGGCATCCTTGTTGTACAGCCTCCCCAGGGCGTCGGATACAACAGGGGCCTGCAAAGGCTCGCGAGACAGACGACAGACGGTCCAGAGCGATTGTCGCAGTAGCGAAGCATCGACCTTTTGCATCGACGCTTTGGTACGCACCATCTCGTCGCGCTTCGATATGGATCCGCCATCATTGCCCTGTACGATCGCCAGCACGGTCAGTGATCGGTGTAGGAGGCTGCGGTGGAGAAGGTCGACTTACCATCTTTGCACGCTGCACAGCTCGGTGAGATGAGGTGCGGGTATGGTGGAGAAGCAAAGAGCAAAGAGCCAGGCTGCGATCCACGTGACTTGGAGAGTGGAGAAATTCGGGGCAGCGGAGCGGCAGTCGGATGTGGGAGCTGCCATGCGCGGTTGGGGCCGAGTGGAGAAGAAGCGCATTTTGGAAGGCGCGTCGTCGTCGTCGAGGTTTCTTCCACCACCACCACGCTGTTCCCCCATCTGGCGGTCACCACGTTCTCTTTCCTGCGCGCACACTCGGAATCGCCTGGAATTCGCTACTACACTCGGTCTTGGGGGTTGTTGCGATTGCCGCTTGGATGCGCCTGTGCGCGGCGTTGGGTTGACTTGTAAACGGAGGGTGTAGGAAGCGCACGACCCCAATTCGCATCTCGATTCGCCAACAATCTCAGCTTTGGCCATCGCATCCGCGCGTGGACGGATCTCGCAATGTTCTTCCTCAAGTACCTGACGCACAAGACGGAGCTGCATCCGTCGTACTTCGGCCCGTCCATGGTGGAGTTCCTCAACCAAAAGCTTCGAGATGACGTCGAGGGAACCTGCACGGGCAAATACGGATACATCATCAAGGTGGTCGGAATGATCGACGTTGGCCAGGGCAAAGTCATCCCGGGCTCAGGCCTGGCCGAGTTCAACAGCACATACCAAGCCGTCGTGCTGAAGCCGTTCAAGGGCGAAGTGATGGATGCCAAGATCACCAACGTCAACAAGATGGGCTTCTTCGCCGAAGTCGGACCGCTCAACATCTTTGTCAGCTCCCATCTGATACCCATCGAGTACAAGTTCCAGCCAGAAGCAAACCCACCCGAATTCGTCAGCGCCGCAGATAGACTCGTCAAGGGCAGGAAAGTCAGGATCAAAATCGTGGGAACCAGAGTGGACGCCAATGAAATCTTCGCCATCGGCACCATGAAGGAAGATTACCTCGGTCCGTTCGATTAGCTTCCACCCTCTCATCACCTTGCACTAAAAGTCCATTTCCGCAGAAACGGTGGCATTCCCAATCCTTGCTCGCACACACACAGTCACAAAGCAAGCAGTCTGGCAAACAGTGTGGACATTACGACCGCGTATCCGTACCAACCAGCTCAACTAGAATCCACCGAGTGTTCTGCACCTTGAGGGCGGGAGGAAGGCAGAACGAGATCCAGCCCGTCTCGCCGGTGCTGGGCGTGAATGCGTGTTCGGTGTGATTCTTGCCGATGCTGCGTTGGGAGCGCTTCCTGCGCCGAACCACGCGCGCGCCCATGTCGAGCGACGAATCGCTCTCCCCCTCGTCGTCTTCGTCTTCCTCGGACGAGTCCGTCATTGCCACGTCCTCGACATTCTCACTTTGGCGGTGAGATTGGGCGGCCTTGTTGCCGGGCAGTTCTGTCGCACCGTACACCGAGCTGAGCGGCACTTTGGACCGCCACGTGAGCGGGGCCTGCGCAAAGCCGACGCACGTCATGGTCGCCCACCCGACTTGCGGCGTGGTGGCGTGCAGCTCCGAGACGAGCGCATCGAGCTCGCGAGTGATGTGCGCGATGAGCAGCGGGCTGAGCAGCACTGGCTCGTCGCGCGTGCCGGCGAGGGCGAGTTTGACCGTGCGGCCGGGCTGGCTGGAGCGCGGAGGGGCGTAGACGCACGTCGAGTCGGGCTTGGCGTAGGTGCGCACCGCATTGGCGCCAAGCGACGCAAGTCCCACCCACTCGATTGTTTCTTGCAGATCGTCTTGGAAGTGCTGCCATGCTGACGGAGAGGCTGTGTTCCAGGGCTGCTGTGAGAGAGCGTGCGGCGTGGAATCGTCGAGCCTGGGCACCCAAACGGACTCGGTCACGACAGGGACCGGGGCGTGGATGAGCAACTCTTGCACTTGGTTCGGATGCACGAGGTGGTCGGGAAAGCGGATCTCGTTGACGACGGACGAGTCTGACGAGCCTGCGCGCATGATCTTGTCGGCAGCATGTGCGGGAGGCGACCAGACGAAGAGCATGTCCCAGGTCGCGTGGTCGCTCGTCACAGTCTCGCCACTGCCGCGCGCTGGCTGGAAGCTGGACGAAGCGTGTGTCTGAGCCATTGTTTGTTCTTGAGCGAGCTTGCGTGAGCGTACGAGGTCCCAGGCACGCAGCCGATCGAGTGCGTGCTGGTATCCCTTCTTGCCCGGCACGAAGGATGGCGAGAGCAGCGGCAGCTCGACGATGAAGCGCGAGTCGGGACCGCTGGTTCGATCCGCTGCTCGGCCGGACGAGAGGCGCGAAAAATGACTTGCCCTGCCCGTGAGGCCGAGGGTCTGATAGGTGTCCTTGCACAGCGAGAGCACTAGGGTTCCCTGGCCATCGAGACATACGGTGTCGTCTGGCGGCGAGTCCAGGCCAGCGGGCCCCGATGGTGCGGAAAGTGCGATAAGCGAGCCAGTCTTGAGGTAGGCGGTGACGAAGATGGGGTCGAGAAGCATGCTTATCGGTACGCGTGCGCGATAGGATCGAAATCTAGACGCATGGTGGTGAACTCGGTCGACAAAGGCCTGGATGCGTGGTGGGAGCGAGGAAGCGGCGTCTGTTACAGGAAAAGCCGAGTCGAGGAGGGGCACGATGATCTCGAGACTGCGATTGAACGGATGCGCATCGATCAGCGCTTCGAGACGGCGGCTGCGTTTCGACACAAGGCTGCTGGGTGGGTCGGAGGATGGCGGGAGGAGGTTGACGATCCAGCGTGCTGCGCCGAGCTTGCGCGCCTTGTCGGAGCGTGCCGAGCTGCGTTTGCGCTTGTGAGTGCTCTTGGGCGCGAGCATGGCTGTTTCGGTTCAGCTCCGAGCAGTGCTGAGTCGGGTCCCGTCGGACGTTGCGATGCGATGCGATGCGAAGCGATGCGA